CAAATCTACTTATTGATTCCTTACGGTTTTTTTTTATAAAATTTTAATAATACTTAAAAATCTTTTTACATTGGTGAAAACATTGGGTTTTTTTCAAATTGGTTAGTTATTTAGGGATAAATATCACAAAATAATAACAGTATATAAATTATAATAAAATGAAATTGTCATATAGCAAAAACAAAGTTCAAGGGAGCCCTTTAAAATGTGGTTATATGTCAACAGATTTGAAGTACGAAACAATTGAATGGCAAAAACACTTTGTTTGTAATGCTCGTAAATGCAACATAAATATTATTTTTTACATACACACAAATGTAGCTGTACATTATACATAATTATTTAAAAAAAAAATAATTTTTTTTCCTGGTTAATTAAAATAAAAATCAAAATCGTTTGACAAAAAAAAAAACCATAAAAAAAATGCAACCACTCTACCCAAATTTAATGTAAAATGAAAAAAAATAATAACTTTATATGTATGTACTCAACCGCTCAATTATAGTTTCTTTGTCGTCCTATAGTAAAAACATTAATTTTTGATGAAAAATACATGCATGTTTGTACAAAATTATTTTGAATGGCACATGTATTATACGGAATGTCAAATTTTATGTGTGTGTATAGATGTATGTGTTATGTACACATTTATACTAAATTAAGTGTTAAATTTAATATTTTTTCCTAGATTTTCATTTTATTATTAAATTTAATTAAATTTTATGACCAAAAATATGTGGAAATTTCTGTTAAATGGCGTATAATACAAAATAATAATGCTATCATTTACCATTATAAAAAAGGATTTTTGCATTCCATACAATTTTTTTTTATTAAAAAAAAAATAAAAAATTTTCTATATTATTTTACATCGACTATAACTAAATTATATGGTCAAAGGAAATTGACGCACGGTCATCCAACACAATTTTATGAGTGTGGTACGTAAATAATTTTTATTATTATTTTTAAACACAGGTATAGCATAAATGAATCGGGTTGAATATCAACTAGGTTAAATCTAAATCTAACATATACAATTTAATAAAATATGGTTCGACTTACAACAAAATAGAAATATTTAAGAATTAGTTCCAGTTAATCTTCAAAAATAGTTGAGTTGTATGATATTGCAGAATTTTGACAGATTCTTGAATGTGATATATGAATGAGTCAATGGTTATCACCGCTAGATGGCAGATAGCACCATTTTGATGAAACCACATCTTTTTTAAAACAATATCATGCAAATTTTCAAAGAAAGAATTATTGATCGCGATTACAGCAGAGAACAATTATTTACCAATAAAACAATGGCAAGTAATACACATTAAATTTTGCAAAATTTTTCGTGGCTTCTAACAATTAATTGCTTTCCATTACTAACCAAATGCAAATATTTTGACTGCTTGCATACGTATAAAAATGCGTCGCATAAAGTTATATTAAAACGAAAATTATATCTCGAATAAAAATAGCTTTTCACGTAATACGACTTTCAATACAGTACCACAATTTACTCAATAAATCCATAATATATTGTTAAATATGCAAAAGAAGCATACTGATTCCTGATATGTAATTTATATATAATGAAAGGTAAGATGTACAAATGTATACTGAGTTCAAATACTTTAAGATGCATTGCATAATATTCTCGTAATATATAACGAAAAAACAAATGTACATACATAAAATCACACTTTATAATTACACAAACGTACTACTATAAATTGAAGATGAAAAATCTAACTTAATGTACACTACATTCTTATTTGATTGCATGCCTATATTTAATTGTTCAAAGCACAGAAATTTCGTTTAAATTATTACAAATAACTTTTACTCGTGTATGTGCATGCATTACTCATACGATTACACACACATTCCTTTTTAAGAAAAAGAAAATCTATTTCCGTTTGAACTTAAAAAATAAATGTGTAAAGTAAAAATAAAATAAAAAATACAAAAAAAAAATTTTAGACTCGTTAAACTCCCATCATGCACTTCCGATGTACATTTCCGATATTTCCTGTTAAAAATTCCAAAAAAAAAAGAAATGAAGAACAGTAAAGTCTCTTGAAACTATTTAGAGAACAATCAATGGTCAAAGCAATTTATTTTCTTAAATTTTTTTGTCTATTCTCTCTCTAAAAATGCAAGATACCAGAAAAAAAACTTTTCAAAACGTTTTTTTTTTTGTATTCTTGATTGAAAAAATTACTTTTATTATCCTCTTTTAATGTTTGCGCTATATGGACGAAGGATTTTAGAAATAAGACTTTATCAATGCAGAGGAGCTGTTGCAGAGAAGACAAAAAAAAAGAAAACTTTTGATAATCGAAAATTTACTAAAATTTGTTTGTTTTCTTCCTTTCTTTTTCTTTCTTTGTAAGATCTAATCAAGAACAAATAAAATATCAAAACATTTGGTAAACGTTGCAAATAAGTGCATAAGTGATAAGAATCATGTGAATTTTGTTAAAATAAAGATATTTTTTATGTCTTTTAATTGAAAAATTTTAAAATGCAATAAAAGGGCAAATTACGATAATTTTACTTCACAAAACAGTTGTTAAAATTAGACATAAAATTCACTTGGATTCTCCTTAATTGTTTTTATAATTTTGTACATTCCACTACTGGAAATGATGCCATTTTGCTTATAGCAATACTAATACAATCTAGATTACTATCACAACAAATTTAAATTCAAATTTATAAAACCATTATTCGCCCGGTAGTACTAATTTGATTGCGAGGTATGGACTCTAAATTTAGCAGAAGAAAACAATTAAGGAAAATCTTTGGTCCTGTAAATTTAGAGTTAGAATATAGAAGAAGAACAAATGCAGAACTCAATGACTTAATTAAAGGCGAAGATATAATAAGATTTAGTAAGTTGCCGCGCTTAAGATGGGCAAAGCATATAATTAGAATAGATGCGAGTAGACCCAAAGTAAAATCAAGTAAGCGAAACCAATGTTAAATAGAAGTAGAGGAAGACCCCGAATGTAATGGGAAGATAATGGGAAGAAAATGATTGAAAATGAAATTAGAAGTCATAAACTGGAAAACTATCCTAAAAGGGTGTTGATAGTTAGAGCCAGATTGTGAAGAAGGCAAAAGTTCAACACGAACTGAACACATTGGAAGAAGAAGACTACTGGAAATTATTTTTAAAAAATTATACTTGTTCGACGGGAAACTTAAACACTAAACATGTGTTATTAGTATTAGCAATAACATTGGATTTCATATATTTTTAATTATAAACAAAATTAGTGACATATACTCGATTAAATTCCACTTGACACTAATTCAATCTAGTTCCTATTAAATTTAATTAATTTTAATTATATAATAATAAAACCGGCCAGCATTTAGTATTTGTTAAACTTTTTTTTGCACGGTCTCATGAAATTTAAAATTTATCAATTTTACTATACGCATACTTAAACCACAAGTGTCAGTCCACAACTCTTATAGGCGTACCTCAACTCACACATTGTAAACAAAATTACAAATTTGATTTTGAAAAAGTTTGAAAATCCAACGCACACCTATTTTTTTGATATATAATGTTAAATATCATGATTATATATGCTTATCATATCACTGAAACATAACTTATATCAAAACAAAAATTTGAATTTGATTACAATGTGAAAATTTGAACTAAATTTGAACCCACCAATATTCTGTAATGATTTGTTGATGTAACAATAGTTATACCCTTTAATTTTAAATAGAAATGTAGAAATTTTTATCATTTGAAAAATTTGTACAACAAATCTACCAGAAATCATGATATTTTTAGTGGTTTCCTAAAATATATTCAAAATATAATGAGTCTATCTATAACAGACAAATTTATAATACTCGTATCCTTGTCCTCGAAAACATAATAAAATATTTACATTCATACATATGGGTGGCGGAAAATAAAATGTTTTACTTTTCTAAATTCTTAAATTCGATTTATATCCTGTTTCCATTTACCTTCTTATATATAAAAAGAAAAGGCATATAAAAATACACGCAAACCCCCAAATCGTTAAAAGTTGTACAAAACTTATTAAACATTCAAATCACGTTATGATGAGACCAATTATGTACATTCATGTCATCTGCGCACATATATAGAAATTTAAGATACATCTAAAATATATTTTTTACTTTATTTTGATGGCAAATTTCATTGAAACTTTGTTAGAATACTTGATGAGCTTTTCCAATGTCAATGATTACTATTAATGGTTATTGCACAAATTAATGGGACAATTACAGCATACAATTTGCTTTTAAGAAAAAGCCGAAATTAAAATAAAACAAAATAGACATGTACAAGAGGGAAATAATATGCAATATGTTGAATAGATGATGAATGATAAAAATCATCCTTATACTCTTGTGATTGTAATTTTATTCTAAATACATCCCAGTATGGATAAATTTTGATTTGAAAGATCTACATATACATATTATGTATATATCTATCAAAATTGATAGTTTTTATTACAAATGTTTAAATTACAACTGCTTTTAATGCATCCAATTTATACATAAGTACTGATATGCTATTGTAAAATGGGCAAAATTAATGAAAAAATACGTTAATAATAATTCAAATATTATTAAAAAATAGCTATTCTTTATTGCTTTTCAATAATCATAAATGAATGTGCGTGAGTAGGTTACTGCTCTTTATACATATATAAGAATTATAAATTTAAAGGGAAAGAAATTTAAAAATGTTAATTAATGAGGTAGTGCTCGTAATGCTCTTAAAATATTTTGAGAAGCAGAAAAATTATATTTAACCTTGCAAATTTATATATTTTAAACTATAGGAGCTTTATAGCTACAGTAATTTTTTGCAAACGGTTCGAATTTAGATTTTATATGCAAAGTTTATTTAATCAATATTAGATGCATAAAAAGTTAAATACTAGTAAAGATCCAATAGCTGATTAAAGAATGAGTGTTTTTAAATTATATTATGTCTGCTCAACGGCTTTGTTTTGAGTCTCTACATGCTGGTTAATTAATTTTTCTAATGTATCGGTACTTGACCCAGAAAACCTTTCTAATTCTTCACCAGATTTAATGAATATTAAAGTTGGCATACTTGAAATTTCATATTCCATTGCAATCTCCTCCAAATCATCAACATCAATTTTTATTATTAAAATCTAAAATATTAAAAAAAGGCTGTATATAATAACATTCATATACTCAAATATTACATACATATATTTTAATATAACATTGTTATACTATTCAATACAACATTATCGTACTTAATAATTCTTATATCATTTAGTATTGGCTAAAAAGAACAACGGTAAAAAAACGACAAAATTAGACCGAAAAACAAATCCTATCGAACTTTTCAGAATATTAATTTTAGGGAACGCAGCTCTGATTCTTTGAGCGAGATTACATTTGCATTGCCATAAAAGTATGTACATAGTTAATATACATACTTGATCATTAAACTACATACTTGAAATTATTTCTCATTTTAGACAACACTTTCTAGATTTTGAATATAAATGTTCATATATCATGCACACATACTTACATTCGATTCAAATTGTTTGGCATATTCTTCAATTTTTGGGGCAAGAGTTTTACAAGGTCCACACCAATTAGCAAAAAAATCCAACACTACTAATTTATTTGTTGTTTTATCTAGTGTTTCTTTGAGTTCCTGTGAATTTTTAACATGAATAGCCATAGTCTTTCAAAGTAAAAATTTGTAATCGATTTCCTAAAAATAAATTTTTATTACTTATTTTAATTGACACCAAAAATTGGATTAATGTACTTTTGAAATTTAACGCAAAGTTTATAAAATTAAAATAATTACATTTTTTTATTTATATTATAAGTAGAATTAATTTAAAAATAAAAGAAAATATTATTGTTAACCTACACATTAGAGAATCCACCCCCAATGGCGTATTACACGGCGAAGTAAACTGTGTTCATAACACTTCGTTTTGCGCCTTAATCTTCGAAAACTTTTTATCACACAAGGAAAATACTGATGTGAACTTAAATTGATAATTCTGGTGCAAGGAACTCCGATTTCGCTTCCAAAAATATTTGCATCTTATTAGAAGTGTTTTTGCCGATCGAAATTTATATCACTTTCAAATTAAAAAAAAGATCCGTTAATTTCTATCAACTAGTATATACCTTTTTTTAAATGGAACGCAACTACTTAGAAATAACAATGTGTCTTTTTCTTTAATTTATAAATTTGCCTGACATCTACCAGAAACTTCAACACTAATAATGTTCATTTCGATTTTGTGAACCATATGAAACTATGGAATTGAAATAAATTTGCATTATGAAGTTTTTTTATTTAACAACAAAAGTTCTACACATAAAGTTTTCTAAATTAAACTCATATGAATTGACATTGTAGATGAATAATTAAAACTTGTTTTACTTTTTGAATATCAACATACCAAAAAATTTAATTATATTAATTTATATTCCGTGTTAAAAACTATTGTAAATGGTGAGCATAACCTTAAAATTATGCCGGCAAACAGCTGTTTATAGCGACTGAGAAAGAGCACAACTGCATGACTGCACAACTACAAAATTGTTAATAAATGTCAAATTCTGTAATGTCATTTTTGTTTTGATTACTATAATAGTGCCGAAAATAAAAACAAATTTTCTTATTTTATTAAAAAAGTAATTTGCAATTAATTAAAAAATAATTTTGATAATTTAAGTTAAAAAATTTAAATAAATTTGTGAAAGTACAAAAATATACACAATACTTTACTAAAAAATGACTGGCGATAGTGAAATGAGGAATAATTCGATTGATGGCGATGATTACATTGATCTAGATAAATACAGGAAATTAGTAAGACATTTCATCGATATGGTAATTACTCTAATGTGTATTCTAATTTAACAATGTTAAAAAAAAATTGTTTATTTTGCAGAGGCGATATCAAACGGCACTATTTTGGGCAGAAAAAGTTGCTGTAATTAGTCAATATGATGCAAGTGATTTATACTGGCAAGCACAATGTCTCTTCCTTTCAAAAGAATACCACCGTTCCGCTCATATAATTAAAAATCATGGTTTAGAAAAAACAAATCTAAATTGCTATTATTTGATTATTGAAAGTCTTTTTGAAGCAAAAGAATATACAGAAGCTCTAGCGATTATCAACAATATCGATATGGATGAATTAATGTTATTAAATAATCAGTCCCATTCGGAATTTGCAATGGATGATAACAAAAATGTATAAACAATTAATTTACAAATATATGTAGATATAAACAGTCCTTAATATTTTAGTGTTTATTAGCTTCGATTTGTTTTCTTAAAGGCAAAATTTTTGAGGCTATGGACAATAGATCCTTAGCAATGGATTATTATGTACAAGCTCTTCAAAAATCGATTTATTGCACGGAAGCGTTAGACTCGTTAGTCCAACACGAAATGCTTATGGCATGGGAAGGTAAATTTATTTTTAACACTATAACAACATAGATAACAATAAATGAATATCTTCGTAGAAAAAGAACTTGTTCAGCATATTCCATTTAATTTACAATGCTCAGAATCTGATACAAAACTGATTAGAAAAATGTATGAATGCAAATTAAAAAAATATTATGATCCTATTGGAGCTGTATGTATTCTTATAAATTTTTATACAATTTAATTTAAATAACAAAATTATTTAGCAAACTAACGCAGAACAAACGCCTAATACTGGGAATTTCAATATTCTTAAATCAATCAAAACTTTAACTGATAAAGCTAAGGAGCATACTACCAGAATAAATCCAAATATATCAAAAGTGTCCTCCCCTTTACATTTATCGTTCTTATCTCCAGCTAATAAGTACAAATACAATATTTCATTAAAAAGATTCAATAAAGAGTTTTATTTTAGAGTTCTTGAGGATATTAATAAACCGCCACATTCACTGCATTCGTCTCTATCTAGAGTGTCAATATTAAACGACAATAATCGTACCAACTTGGATTCTTCCACCTATCAAAAAAACAACATTACCTCAGAAAATCCATCTGCTATATCACTTTCACTTTGTATGAATAAAATAAAAAAAAGTACAGATATGATGGCAACACAAGCCGAAAGGTTGTTCTATGATTGCAAATACAGACAATGCCAAGAATTGTTAAACGGGTAAGCCCAAGTAGTTTCAATATTTTTAAAAGAAATTTTACTAACTACTAAATATTAAGGTTATTAAAAGAGGATCCATATCATAATGATGGTTTAACAGTTCTTATTGGGTGTCTTGTAGAATTGGGAGATTCTAATAGTACGATATTTTAAGCATTTACCGACCCATTATTCAAATTCATTTTGCTTTTAGAATTATTTTACATAGCACACAAACTTGTTGATCGTTACCCTGAAAAAGCTATATCATGGTACGCTGTTGGATGCTATTATGATTTAATTGGAAAAAGTGATCCTGCAAGGAGGTATTTATCAAAAGCAACTTCATTGGACCGACTTTACGGACCTGCTTGGCTTGCATATGGCCATTCCTTTGCTAAAGAAAATGAGCACGATCAAGCAATGGCTGCGTATTTTAAGGCGACACAGTTGATGAGGGGATGCCATTTACCTCTGTTGTATATTGGTGTTGAATGTGGTTTAACAAAAAATTTGGAGCTCGCAGAAAAATTTTTCTACCAAGCAATGTCCATAGCACCATTGGATGTATTTGTTTTGCACGAATTGGGTGTAATAAAATATGAATATGAATAGTTAGTTAGCAAATAAATTAAAAAAATTAATGTCATACCTGATTACGATTATATTTTCAGTTATGAAAGCGCTGAAGAAGTATTTAGAACCACAGCTGAAATCATAACAAATAGAGCAAAACAAAGTAGGGAAGAGATTTCCCCACGTTGGGAGCCTTTATTTAATAATTTAGGGCATTGTTGCAGAAAAAATAAAAAATACAAGGAGGCTTTAGAGTATCATCAACTTGTGAGTATAAACACAAAAGCTAAAAAAGCTAAAAATATTTTTTCTAGGTAAAAAAATTATTATGTACTGTGTAAAATATTATTTTAGGCTCTACTTCTTAAACCATCGAGCTCTGAAACATATACAGCCATTGGTTTTATTCATGCTTTAATGGGAAATTTAGAAGAAGCAATCGAATACTTTCATAAAAGCCTTTCAATATTTCGTGACTGTGTTGTGACATCAACTATATTAAAAACTTGCATTGAAGATCTTATGGAACAAGAATGCATTATAGATAGCATTTGCGATAAAGATTTAGAGAAAACGAATTGTGAAGAAAGTGATATTTCTACTCCAGGGACCCCACTAAAATTAAATTGTATGAAATTAAAATATGATGATGTTGAAAGCTCACCAGCTGAGGCTTTAGACATAAGCATGGATACATAAGCATGTATTAAAATGAATATTGCCAATAAAATATAAATAACGAAAATTTGTTTATAAATTTAAGTACTCACGAGTTTGTTTTACTATAAATTACGTTTGTAGTTATTTTAATTGTAGTTTATTATTGTAGTTATTTATATTATATGTTATTGGTCAAGTGTGATGTCTTAGTTTCTAAAATGAAGCTTTCCTTTATCAAAATTGACTGCTAATTTTTAGACCTATATTTCATTGCAATGGTTAATTAAACTTTAATTAAAGTTAAAACCATTACGAAAATTAAAGCTTACACCTAGGCGGTGCAAAATTTTTAAAATGTTTGTCTAGGGCTCTTATATAAATCTAGTTATCCACATTTCAACGAAAAATGATAAATGAAAATAGAACAGCGAAAAAAATTTCAATATAAAAGTATGCACAAAATGACTATTATTAAAAAAATGTTGAATCACATTCATGTAATTCTTGTAAAACAAAAAAATATTACCTGGTAGCGTCTTCAAAAATATGTCTTTGAGAATTATAAAAATATAATAAAAATTTTTTTTTGGAGAATATTTAATTCCCAAATTTAATTTCAAAAAACACTTGAATATAAAAAAGTAAGCAGTTTTTCTTAAGAGTAAAAGAATATTTAATAACGGTATAAGCGAATAGAGCGCAAAAATTTCTGTAAGTTACTGAGCGTTTCCATAGGCAAGTTATTGGCAGTTTTGTGTAAAATTAAAAAAATGTCATTTTATTTTTTGAAATGCTAAACCGATATTATTCAACATGTAAAACTAGTTTCTTAAATTACCGGTAGCAAAATTTTCTTACCAGTTGAAACGACAATAAACTGGCCAATCGAAATATTCCCGTGTATTAATATTTTTTTTTATGTTTCAAACTTCCTTGTCAAAAAAATGCATATAAAACTGCTTAGGTGGAACGCGCAATAATCAAAAAACTTTTATAGTTCGAAAATGTATGCCTACAGTTTTTAACTTTTTGTATTACTGAACCTGAATGGACGTGATATAATTCGAATTTCCGCATCACCGGCGCGTCGAAAAAAAACGTCAAAAAAATTAAATTAATTGAAATTATGTTTTTATTTTTGTAGCTTTGATTAATTTAAGACTATATTACGATTTTTATAAGTCCCTTCAAGAGTCCGTGTAAAATTTTTACTCAGTTGAATTAGTAAAGAAGAAAAAGCTTTTACAAGTGTATATGTTGTTTTGTTTACCAACAGTTATCATTTAATTTTTTGACAGATATTAATTTTAATATATTATATTATATGTTGTCAAAAATAAGTCACTTATTATTTAATAAATATTACATTAAAAGAAGTTAATTATTTATTAAACTTTAACCTGATATCATGGGGTCATGTGACTCTTTTAACTTCAACGCAAAGTATGAAATTTCCAACAAAAAGTACATGCTCCATCAACTACTCTTTAAAGAAATTACGCTTGTATTAAAGAACTACATTCAACTTCAAAAAACTGACTGCAAATTAATATTAAGGTAATGACAATTCTCTGTTGGTTTGATTTTCGCTAATAAACCTGAATTCTTCGAAATGGTTTGAACGAATGCTTGATGCAATTAACAATAAACGCACAATAAACAAGTTTTGTAGCAAAATTTTTCAAAAACAATAGCTAACGATAGAATTGTTTTTAAACTTTTTCAGTTTTTTATTTTTATAGAATCGGATATTTTATTTTTATAAACTCATAATTTTTTCAACCAATTCACTAAAATTGATTTTTCATCAAAAATGTCTAAATGGATGCAAAATTTGTACAAAAAATTTTTTGAACATCTTATTTTCGTTTTCATTATAAATTTTTTGAAAGATTTATTAACGCCATATTTTTTATTTTTTATGTTTCATTTAATTTACATTTATACGAAATATATATATTTAAAATAGGATTGTATAAAATACATGTTTATATAAATAATGAAGTGTATTGAAAAAACGCTTACCTGAATGATGTAAATGTGGTTCATACAAATTTCTGCCAAAAATTCTGTATAACACGAACATCAACTATGCTTACAGTCTCTAACTAAAAACCTTTCATACAAATTACAATAATGAATTCATATTTCACATCGACTCCATCATTTTTTATTTTTCAAATTCAAAATCATATGAGTGCTATTCTACATTTCATGCCGCTGCAGCTTTTAAATGATGCATTCGCTGCAAAGCTACAAATTATGCCGGTTTCATATTTTCATGGCCAATGGGTTTTTCTTTTCTCTCGAATGCTTAGTTATTATCGTATGGTCGTTTAAAAAAGTTTGTTAAATTTGTGGAAAAAAAAAAATCAGAATTTTGTTACATTTTAATTTTTTTTTTTATATGTACATGCAGAATATATATTTTTATTCTAAACTCTAATAGTTATATTGTGGTTTATTGAAACATAAGCAAAATGAAAAATCATTAACATCTATTTAAAATAAAAATAACACGAGCGGGAAGAATTTTTTTTGTGAAGGCTTATTATTTTAAACGAAATTTGAAAATCGTTTAATTTTTCACAAAAAAAAAAAAAATTTGAAAAAGGATGAATCACATGAGATGACTTTATCCAAGAAGAAAATTTCAACAATCAACTCTGAATTTTCTTATGAAAAAAACCGAAATAAAATGTGTGAAAATTGAATAAAATTTTTTGAATTACAAATTGTTAAAAGGGAAAACGTGGATAATACAAGTTTGTAATTTTTTTTAGTGGTAACATTTGTCAAAATTCCTTATCTAACGGAAGGACAAGTTTTTTTTTCTTGGAAATAGCAAATTTTTACTAAAACGTTAATTGCCACAAAAGAAAAAACAATAATTTTGAGAGAACAGTTAATTAAAGAAAATAATAAACTTGAAAATGTTTTGATTGATCTAAATATTAAAAATATAAGAAATTATTATTTCAACTATAGTAAAAGTAAGTACCTATATTCATAATTTTGAAATATTAAATATAATTATATTGAAGAGAAAAAAAAAACCGGCTGATAAATTTTCTATGTCGGGAAAAAGGAAACAAAAAGAAAAAAAAAAACTCCCTTAAATGTTACACACACGACAGATACCCTTTTTATGAAACGATTGTGTGTGAGAACAAATCTGATTGGCAACGTGGTTTCTCTGAAGAATATAGAGTAACCTGTAGTAAAAGAACAGTGAAGAATTCGTATTTGTTTTTCAAATGGTTCGCAAAATAGCAGAAATTGAATTGTTGATTATATAGGTTTAGGTAAGATATTAGTTTAATAGGAAACTTAATAAAATATACAATTCTTTTTTTTATTAAAATTTCTTATACTAGAAAGGTTCATTCCATTTTTTAATTTTAGGTAACTTTTCATCTAATTTGTCTTTTAAGTGCTTCTTTAAGATCGAAATATTATGTGGCTTTAAAACTTGTAAATACATACGATAAGAGGTTATTTTCATAGTTAAATATGATTTACGTATATTTGAATGAAAAATTTACCCTTAAATTATGAAAATGGAAAAGAAATCACAATGGACCAAGTTTTTGAATGTTAAAGGATCAATTTAGTCTTCGAACTAACATTTATTAAGAATCTGTTTGTTCCAACGGCCGAGATATCAATTCACGTTCATGCTAGCAAAAGTGTACATACTGTCTAATTGTTTACATTCAATTACTAACTCTACATTGAGATTTTAACTGCTGTTGCTTACTTATGCTTAGCTTTCTATTAATAATTTTTCTACAAGTTACAATATTTTAATTTATGTCTGCAAATTTAGTTATTAAATGGTATTTTTGATTATTTTGTCACAAGATACTTATTAGATCCAATTAAAATATTTTAATATTTATTATCTAAGGAGAAATTTAATAAGAATTAAGAATTTTAGTAGATAAAATAATATAAAATTGACCATAATTACCTATGTAATTCATTTAATTCATAGTTGAACGGAAAACCCATTTCGGTTAAGCTTTTGAAAAAGAAAATTTAAAAAATAAAAGTGGTCTCCTAAATGTATGCAATTGTATGTATTTTTTTTGATACATATTTTCTGTACCGTGAAGATTCTTTATATTTTTTTCCAATTTTAAAACTTGCAAATATATTACAATTTTAGTATGTATTATTATTATATTCTAATAATAAAAATAATTACGGTAATGTTCGTGTATTCCTAGGTACATGAAACATAATTTTATTAAAATGTTATATTCTCGTTAGTATAAAAGTATTTACATATAAGTAGGTACTTAAATTCTGTTTAATAAAAGACAATTTACTCAAGAAAATTTAAATAGTATGATAAATAAGGCCGTTCAATATCTATTCTATTATTTTCAGTTTTTTTTTAAATTAGATATTGTAAATTCGTTAGATTTAGCATTTTGTATTACATACGAAAGATAAAATTTGATTTTTAGATGATCATAAATGATCTAACTTGATAAAAGTCGAACTGGGTATATTAAAATCTAATTTGCTTAGATATTCCCATTACATTTATTTTTCAGTAATTCTCTTAAAAAGTAAACATAACAAAATTTGATTTCAAAAATTTTTCGTTCTAACAGATTTAAAAAGTAAAAATTCAATTTCTAAAATTGACAAAGCTTGGATTTGCAAAATTTTTTATACTAAATTAAATTTTTTCAGTTGTTTTACAATTAGTTTTTACATAGGTATCCGTCGGGTAAATTTGTTCAAAATCGAATTGCTTGATTCTAAGTATTTCATACTTGTAAATATGAAGCTAGAAAACTATTTAAACAAAAAAAAACTGTTTTAGCGTGACTCTGGTTATTATTTACGGTTAAGGTGCTTCTTTTTGAAATTGTCGGAATCTTTAAAAATTTGGGAAGGAAGTATATTGTCATTACTCTGCGTATTCAGAGTAAAAATCATCATTTAAAGTGTTATGTTCGAATGTTATTTTCAAAATTCTTAGTTGAACAAAGTCATTTCATTTGCTTTTTTTCAGACATGGAAAGTAATATAAATTTTCAAAATGCCACATAATTTTTAATAATTAAAGTGTTGATGCCGAATTAATTTTTTTACAAAAAAAGGTAGTTAGTGTTGTAGATAGATGGGCTTAAATTTCTTTGATAACAAATTGATGTTAGAATTTCCATTATTTTTATTAGGTTTTTCCGTCGCGAATAAAATTGTGGGTACTGTTCCCATAGGTATATGGAAACTGAAATTTCGAAATTTTATTAATATTGATTTTGAATTTTTGTTAGATAGGAGCTATGTTTTCATTAAAAAATAATTTTAATCGAATAATATTTAAATATGATAAGAAATTCAAAATTGCTTGAGATTTTTTTAAATTTAACTATAATAAGTTTTTAAAATTTAAATTAGATTTAAAGTACAGATTCCATTTTAGTGAAGTCATGATCAGAATTTTTATTTGATTATTTAATCGTTTGAAATGACAATTTAATTGAAATGAAAATAAATAATTATCCCAACATTATGAGAAATCGGTTTGTTTGAGTAAAAAATGAAAAATTAAATTGGTTGTTTGGTAAAATTTTTTACAATTTTGTCAATAAGTACTTTGGTTTTGAGAAATTGGGGAACAGTTATCTTCGGCTCACTAATATTGACAATAAATTTCAATGTCTATTAAAAGTAATTTAAAAAGTAGGTAGAAAATTTTTTCTTATGTTGAAACTATTCAACTCTTTTTGAATTAAATAAAAAATTTAAATATTATAATTTATACAAAATTAGAATTAACATTAAGTATGAGAAAAAAATTTTTTTACGCTACACACAATTCAATTTCATCACTTATAAAAGTTACTGTCCAATTTTTTCTTTAAAAATTATTTAATTAAAACAAATTCTAAATAATGCGGGAAAAAAGAATTAAAAATTAAAAACCTTTACTTATTTAATAATCTTATTTGTATATGAATGTAATTTTCTTCCACTCAACTTTTTCGAAACGAGTTGAGTTCTTTTAATATTTCTCGATATTTTTTTTTTTGTTTAAAATGTTTGCATTCATTATTTTTATTTATATTTTATACGTAATATGCAAATCAAATACCTTATATAAATACAAACATTATTTAATTTAATAGGAGATTTTTTGAGGGTTTAGTTCTTAAGGATACTGAGAAACCAACAAAATTTGCATTTAGAAGTTATTTTTATTCGAATTCTTAACAAAATAAGATGCCAAAGATCCTTACCAGATATAGTTTTCTTAGACAATGTTTTGTTGCGTGGAGAAGAATTTAGTAATTAAAAGTTATGTAATTTTCGAACATTCTTTATTCAATATTCTTTTGTGTTATATTTGTGCCGTTGATATCAGAGAGAGCTGTATGACAATAAAAATTCATATTATTTAAGTGAGTTCTATAAAGAAACAACAGAAGTTTTATAATCAGGGAAGAATGTACATGTCTCTAAATAATATACAGGAAACTTTCTTCTTAACCTGTTAGTACCTGTTAGAAACCCAATTTATTAAATTTTATTTTTCTGAGAATAGTCTCCTATTCTTTATCTTGTATTTTTACTCTTTTAAAATCAATTCGTTCTGTATTTTTATGTTTTTGCGTACCGATTTACATTACAACACTGCGAACTACATATACAATAAAGAAAAATATAAGTAAAAATACAACAAAATTTGACAGAAGTAGAAAAATTTTCCGCTTTAATAAAAATAACTGCACAAGTGCACACACCCTTCGTAGTTTTTTCCAAAAAAAAAAACTATGTACATACTTATGTAAAAAATATAAAAAGTATATTTTTTTTATATATTTGTTTTTGTACTAAAAAGTATCATTTATCTGAATAGGAAACTACAATAGAGAGAACAGCGAATTGCACAACAAAATAATAAAAATAAACAAAAACAAAAAACAAAAATAATAATAAAATTTATTTGATTTTTCTCCTTTTTTTTATTATTATGTTTTTCTTTTCATATTCGTACCATTTGTGATTCTACAAGGACTCTACTATATTTGAAGCAACACGAGATACAAGCAGCATAGTGCAGCATTTGTGTACACCGAAACGAACGAAACGATTGTACTTTTATGTTTTTCTTTTTTATATGAAAAAATAAATGTTTAAGGAGCGAAAAGAGTGGAGAATAATAATAAAAAAAGAGCAGCTATAAAAAAAAAGAGAGCCAATTTTACAGTATTATCAATAATAGTAGATTCTGCAAAAAGGATAATAACAGAAAATCTCGTACATATATAAAATATTAAAAAAAAAATTTCACACATTTCAATACGTATTGGTATATGTATAATACATAAATATATAAGTAACCGTTAAATTTTTTTTTGCTTTGGAGTAAATTAGAAAGAAAATTGTCAACTTTTTCAATATGCCATCGTTGCAACAGGTATGTTTGGCTTTAAGTATTTGTTAATTTTCAATATATGCTTTAGTTTTAGTGTTGTGACAAGATATACATATATAAAAATACATATTATATACATATACATATTACAATTTAGATTTTTTTTTTGTTGTTGTTGTTGATTCATTCTATTTTATTCGTTATTTTATATTATAACTTGCTCTATGAGTAAAGTAGCCGTATTTACATGATGAATAATAATAATGAAAAAAAAGGATTTTTTTTTTTTTTTTAATGAATGATGAAATATTAAAATTGATCTTGAAAAAAGATAGGTAATTTTATGAGTGATTAAATTTGAATTAATAATATAATATTTTTATTAGCCATATAAAATCGAAATACATATGTGTACATAATATAAGTAGCATTTATGTATAAGAGTGATGATGATATTTCACGAAATATTTGGAAATTATTAATTGATTTACATTCTATGTCTATTAGTTAAAAACAATGTTATATGTATAGTATTTGTATAGTTATTTAAAAATCACATTTATGATGTGAAAATTGAAAACTACATGATATCAGAAACTTAAAAATTAAGCCTAATCAGCCTAATAAATAAATTTATTGGTCTTAATTATTACGATATTTCTGTAGTTAAAACCAGATAAACATAATTTTTTCCAATTATGGAAGTCAATTTAGAAAACAAAAATATATAAATTTGTTAAGTATTAAAGCTGCAATCAGAAATTTCATTTGGTAGTTGATTAAGCAAGATGGTAAGCAAGATGTGCTTACTTAAAAATCCCAACGATAGTCCTTGTGTATTGTCTAAAATCATTCTTAAATGTATTTATTCTCTTAATCAATTTTATTTATTCTTTCACGCATGCCCGGAAAAAATTTTGAAATTGTTATATTCAATTCAATTACCAGTTCCAATCTGATGCGTTCCATGAGATTATAAAAAATATCAAAGCGTGTTACAAATTTTGTTTTGAAAACTTACAACATTTTTGAAAAATTTTTTTGTTCGAAATTCTTTTAAATCGATTTCAGAAATGGCCAAATTTTTAGAATCCAAATGATAAGGTTCCATAGTTGATAAATTTTTTTAGGGTATTGAACTGTCTCATGGAATTCTAAAGCATAAATCTAAACTATTAAAAAAAAAGACTTTCCATTAGTGGTCATTTTTTTTCAATTGCAATCTTTTGAAAATGACAGTCCTAGTATACCGTTCAATAGTTCACAATAATTATTGAATTATTTTCGATACATCTTGTACCATAATTTGTTTATATAAAATTAATAATAAAATCGTAGTTATTTACTAGATTTTCCCTATTTGCAACAAAATATAAAAATCTCGAAATTGAAAATGATATACAAGAATTGTATATTTTTATTTACGTCTTATACTACTTATAAAATGATTTTCAGTCATTTGTAGCAGCTATCGCAGTAGGTCTTCAATACTTTAAAAAAATATTTCTAAGTAAAATATTTAAATAAAAAGATTACATCACTTGCGAACATTGATGGGATTTTGTAAATCTGACAAAATATTTCCGATTTTTTTAATATTGTGTGAGCGTTTTTAATATTATAAGGACGATTGATTTCATATTTTTTTAATTAAATTTTATTTATAAATTTATTATTTTAATTATTATCTAGATAATTTACTTCAAATTCTCGAAAACTAAAACTTTTCGTCTAGAAAATTTTATTATCAAATAATTTGATGTGAATCAAAATTAAAAAACTTAATCTGTGCTACAATTTTGGTGCGTAAACCTATAATGTTTACAACCATATTATTACATTGCGCTAAATATATAGTAGTATATAGAAAAAATACTACATCTAAATAGTAATATGAAAACTTTTATTGAATATGAAAAACAAGAAAAGCGTGGAACAGTACTAAATGAGAGTTGAATTACAAATATTTTATATGGCATTTTCATTTGATGCGTAGGTGAATGTAAGAAACGTGGTTAAAAATGTTTAATTTTTCTCAATTCTTTCTTTAGCATTATTTGTAGGTGCAATCGATTATTCCAAAAACGTATTTTTAATAAATATATATAATTGATTATAAAAAAAAAATTATAATTCTTTAATATTAATTTATAATAATACTTTATGTGAACTTATTGATTTCAAGAAATATAAGAAAAATAGGTATAATTTTTTTTTTTCGAAAACATTTCTGATAAATAATGAAATAAAAATTTAAAAATCACACATATAAAGCGGTCAATCACTTAATATGAATTTACAATACAAGAATGTTAAACTTAGCAGTGTGATATATTACAATGAGTGTAAACAAAAAATGCTCAATTAAAAAAAATCGCATGGTCTAATGTGTTTTCGATACAACATGAAATCGTAGTATTATTATATGACATGCTAAATAAAAAAAAAATTAATTAAAGTTGAAGTAAATCAATGGGTTGCAAAGTAGCACTTTCCACTTGAACGGATAATTATTACTTTCCTTTATATACTAACATATATCAAATATTTGCATACATATAGGATGAGTAAAAAATATAGTTGAGGGAAGTATTAACGTACTGATCGAATTCGACGGTTAAGTAAGGGAGTTAAAATCAAATATATTTTTTGATGACATGGCATTTTCCTTTAGTTTTTACTTTTACAGAAATTTTTAAGAAAGTTTGCAGTTTTAAGCAACTTTTTGCGGATTCTGAGGCGACAACTTGGGAGAAGTTAGAGGCTTTTGCTCTTTTTTGCTTCCCAAACCTGACGGACTGATGGACAGACAAAGTGAAATAAGTGAAATATTTTTTCTAATTTTCTTTTTTTGGAAAAGTGCTAAAAAGTAATATTTTGATTTTATTTCAATCGCATCTATTCGAACCACTTAAGAAGTTATGATTTGTGAACTACATATTTATTAGTCTGTTTTCCAAAACGAACTCGGTCAAAATTTATAGGCGAAAGCAAGCAAATTATTTATCTATTTCAGACAAATAAGTATTAAAATTAGATTATGTATTAGAATAATAATTTATTACTGTAAGATATGAACTAAATAACTTAGACTTAGACACTAAAAGAAAACAAAATGAAGAAACTTGGAAAATGTTTATATTTTGACAAAATCCTTTGATTGCACCTCCTAATCATTATTATTTAAAATTTTCAATTTTACGATTTTCACAGATTTTTAAGCACCTAACGACTTAAATTAAAGCTTAAGCAACTGGTTCCGCAAAGAGAATTTTGGAAGTTTCAAAAAAATTTATGAGAAAATGTCGGGACAAAAAAAGTAAAATAAAAAAAATTGAGTAAAACCGAAACTTTCCTAAAGTATTTTCCTTTTACTCCCTTTTTCTCACTTTCCTAAGTATTTTCAAAAGAATATCTAAAACCAAACCTGCTGATCTTTATTTAAAGCCCTCTTAAAGTTTTTTTAAAAACTATTTGTTTGAAACTTCTACCGGAACGGTAATTATAGGCAAAAACACTTAAGTATCTTAAAATTTCGCCAAATTTTCTTAAAATCTCTGTAGGTCGGAAATGGTTCCGATTTAACACTATTTCTGAACAAAAATTTTGCACATTTTCGATCCACTACTTATATGGTATAAGAGTAGATTTATTGAAAGTTTCTTTGTATGAAGGCAATAGTATTGATCCTATCAAAATTTTCATTTGTACTTTGTCGATCATTTAAATTCCTTATCAATGAAAAAAAAAATTGTGAATATTTCATTTTACTATCCACACATATGTATGTAAGTCTCTGATCAATATTTAAGTTTTATTTGAAAAACTAAACACTGTATGGAAGACAATCTTGGCTGTGTGACCGATATACTATTTCGCTTCATTTAAGTTTAACATAAAATATGTGACTATCCTAAAATCTTATGATTTATTTCTAAGGCGAAAATTTTTATTTTTGTTTTCCGTAAGATTTGTACTAATATGATATTGTTCAATATTCATGTACATGGTGTTTCACAAATTTTATTTTTAACTTTAAAATAACGGTATTTCAAATAAGTAGTTCGACTAGTGAAAATATGAGTTTGTAAAATTAGCTTTTTGTAAAATGAAACATTTCATGTAAACTTGTTTTTTGCTCAAAAAAAATTTTGATAATTTAGATAATTAACTTTGTTTAATATGAATCTTAATCTACTTACATACACAAATATAAGAATTAAGTTAATAAATTTTGATTTTTTTACGAATACAACCATTCCTCATACAAATTAAAATATTATGGCTCTCATATCTATTTTTCTCAACTCTATCTAATCAATTTAGAATAACTTTATTAGCCATTTATGCATTACTCTGTATAATTTTTAAATATAAGTGCAATATAAAAAATATTTAGGAATTTAAATATATTTATTTATATATATTCATATATATATACATACATATTCTGAATTATATGTTAATAATCATTTTAACAGTTACGTGACATTATTGTTTTATTGTATGAGGACATTATGTATATGTTCACACATATACTTATATTATACATATATTTATTAGTACATGTACTACATTTTATACTTTTAATTATATAATATAATACCGGATGTATGCAGACAGATATATGCCCGATTTTTTTTTTTTTCGAGTTGAGAAAATAAGAAAAAACATAGCACAATAATAATAACAATAAAGAAGATAAAAAAAATGTACGAAAGAAAAAATTAAATAGTCATAAAAACTTTGGTATTTTATAGAATCCATTTAAAAACATTTAAAGTCCTTACGAAGCTGCTGTAAAGTAATAAAACAAAGAAAACAATAAAAAAAAAAAAAACAAAATAAAAGAATTATATAAAAACATAGAAAAACATAGTAAATTTTTTTTTTCTTTCTTCAGAAACAATTTCCTTTTTGTTTTTTTGCTTTTCTTTGATAAACAGTACTGTAATGTTATATTGAACACTCCAATAATAGATTGATAAAATTCAATTTATAATGAAAATTATAAAATATTTCTGATGTTAGAGTTTAGTAGA